AATATAGCCTTTTAAAACTTTTGCATGGTAGAAACAGAAGCTGCTGTTCATATTAATGACAAACAGTAACAACAACTTTTTGTCAGTTTAAAGTTTCTTTAAAATATTAAAAAAGAAATTACAAAAAATAATTTGGTAAAGTGCTAATTAAAATATAGTTGTATCTGCAACTGTATTTGATAATGTTTTGAACTGTTAAAATACTGCATGATAAAAACAGAAGCTGCACTTCATATTAGTGACAAACTTATGCATTTTTTTTTTGATGGGTTACCTTCATTTTTGCTTCTACTTTTCATTTAAAATAAGTTTCCATTCTCGGCAGGTTTCTAAGGTTCTTCTTCTACATATTAAAAAAGTTGTTAAACGTCTGAGTGGCGCACTACTGCTACTAATGGTGGGAAAGTGTATTTCACCTTATTCAAAATCAGTGTGGTCCCGCAGCCCTCTGTGGCCCAAAGTTAAAAACTGTTCTTTTGAGGCCCTCAAGGTGGTACTTAACCTATGGGCTGCAGCCCATAGGTTAAGTATCTCTGGTTAAGGGCATAGGTGTGAACTGGGTTTATGTTTGTTTTTTGTCAGGTTTTATCTCAGTGATTTCCCCTTGATGCTCAAGGATTGCACAAGGTTTGGGAAGGAGTCCTGCAAAAGGCAGGCTCAGCTTCAGCTCAGTTGTGTATGGTTGGACGTAACAAGAGGACTTTGGATCTTTAGGTGACTCAAAATGCACCGATGCTGGTGCAATTAATGTTTTACGTCTAAGAGGGTTTGTGTGCTCCCTTCTAGTACTGTGTCTGTACTAGTCTGACTGCTAACACATCTCACAAGATCTCAGTACACAAGGTTGTAACATTAGGTTCAAGATTTCACTAAAAAAAATCTGTAACTCAATATTTCTCAACATAGATGGTCTCAGTTTAAAACTCTAGCATTAAAGGTGGTGGGCAATGAGGGGAAGTGGAGAGGTGTACAAAATTTAAGATAATTTATTCAGCCAAACCATTTTGAAGTGATTGTGGTTTTTGTTGGTGAAAATATGCTAAAAAGTTAACCCTGCTCTAATTAGCTGTTATTCTGATTTCCCTCGCAAGACTTCCTCCCTCATTCTCTAAACTGCTACACGATGTCTGCTGCAAATAATGTACTGACCGTTAACAAGTACTGGACTCAAATTTACTGTCTTACATCTGACCTTCTGCTCCTCTTTTAGAAAACAGTTATGACAAGAACAGGGCAAGTGGGCGCCTAACCAATGGCATTCCTATGGTCCCTCAGAGGAGGACTACATCAGAACTGGATGATTTTCGGTGCTCTCTGCCTGTGCATAAACATCAGGACGAGATTGTCCAACTGATCAGAGAAAACCGAGTGGTAATCGTTGTGGGAGAGACTGGTTCTGGAAAAACTACCCAGGTGGGTTTGATACAGTGGAAGCAGAAAACTGGGCTTTAACATGTTGTTTTGTTTTGTTTGGTTTGTTTGTTTGTCAGATTATGAACAAGTTGTGTTCACAGGTCAAAATCCCATCTGGGGCCTTTTTGTCCAAGTAGGGGATTCTACACGTTGGGGGAGTTTCTTGGCTGTGTGGGCAGAGTTTGGCAAAACCGTGATTGGTTGAATTGACTTGTGGGGGAAGTTAACTAATGGTCATAGTAAAATTATTATCAACATGTAAATATAATTTATTGACTGCCTGTTTATAGTTTAAAACAAAAAAGTCTCAAATAAAAATTAATATGAACATGTTTATATGATTTATTGTTTTCAAATTTTGTGCAGCTAGCACATTCCTGTTTCTAGTTATAACTAATATTCATAT